TTTTTGTGCAAGCTGTTTTTCTTCTCACACATAACGATAAGACTGCCGTTCCACCTGCATTATTGTCAAATCAACCTGACTGGCAGTATTAACTGTTTAAAATCTTAAAGGCGTTTTAGAAGTTTAGTGAGCGAGTTTAGTCTTACAGCGCTTTTAGCAATATTCCAGCAATATACAGGCGGAAGACAATACAAATTGGCTTCACACATTGTACCCACATGCGGAATAGAACCCGTTCTTCGATGTGAGGAATAAACACTTTAACCACTAGGCAAACGCACCGCCCTTTTTAGAAGTTGACGAATAAGAAAATAGATATGATACTTTCTGGACGACAATTTCTTAATATCTATTATGCGATGGTGTCTTGATTTCGGTATATGAATCGATACTTAAACGTCGCATCTTCATATAATAAAGAAATTGTCATCTATATAAATATCATCACTTTCTTAGGACTCAATAAGGTTGGATTTTTTTTTATATGAAGAAAATGTAAGCTTGCTTTAGTGCGTCGGTTCTGTGGTGTAGTGGTTATCACGTCTGCTTTACACGCAGAAGGTCGCGAGTTCGAACCTCGCCAGAACCTCTTTTTTTTTGTGCAAGCTGTTGTTCTTCTCATACATAACAATAAGACTGCCGTTCCACCTGCATTATTGTCAAATCAACCTGACTGGCATTATTAACTGTTAAAATCTTAAAGGCGTTTTAGAAGTTTAGTGAGCGAGTTTAGTCTTACAGCGCTTTTAGCAATATTCCAGCAATATACAGGCGGAAGACAATACAAATTGGCTTCACACATTGTACCCACATGCGGAATCGAACCCGTTCTTCGATGTGAGGAATAAACACTTTAACCACTAGGCAAACGCACCGCCCCTTTTAGAAGTTGACGAATAAGAAAATAGATATGATACTTTCTGGACGACAATTTCTTAATATCTATTATGCGGTGGTGTCTTGATTTCGGTATATGAATCGATACTTAAAAGTCGCATCATAATATAATAAAGAAATTGTCATCTATAAATATCATCACTTTCTTAGGACTCAATAAGGTTGGATTTTTTTATATGAAGAAAATGTAAGTTTGCTTTAGTGCGTCGGTTCTGTGGTGTAGTGGTTATCACGTCTGCTTTACACGCAGAAGGTCGCGAGTTCGAACCTCGCCAGAACCTCTTTTGCAAGCATTTTTCATCTTCCCTTTCAACACCAGGGAAGCCAATGAATGATCCCCGTTTCCTTCACATATACTCAGTAAGTCATTTTATTGATATCGCCCTCTTCTATTTCGCATTTACCTTCCCCTGCACATGACTTTGGCTACATCTAGTTCGTTTGGTCAGAATGACCCTGACACCTTTCAAATACATAAAATATCCGTGCCAGAGAATAACTAGTATGAACTATCAGCCGAGATTTATTCCACTGGAAGTCATAGACAAAATAGCAGTGAAAATGACATGAATGGGTCACCAAAAATCAGCATTAACAGCATGCATTTGTGCAAATTAAGAAGTAAAATGTCGTGCTTTGAATTGCAGCAACTGTGGCCTTGTTTGAGTGTGATGGTTCTGTGGTGTAGTGGTTATCACGTCTGCTTTACACGCAGAAGGTCGCGAGTTCGAACCTCGCCAGTACCTCTTTTTGTGCAAGCTGTTGTTCTTCTCACACATAACGATAAGACTGCCGTTCCACCTGCATTATTGTCAAATCAACCTGACTGGCAGTATTAACTGTTAAAATCTTAAAGGCGTTTTAGAAGTTTAGTGAGCGAGTTTAGTCTTACAGCGCTTTTAGCAATATTCCAGCAATATACAGGCGGAAGACAATACAAATTGGCTTCACACATTGTACCCACATGCGGAATCGAACCCGTTCTTCGATGAGAGGAATAAACACATTAACCACTAGGCAAACGCACCGCCCCTTTTAGAAGTTGACGAATAAGAAAATAGATATGATACTTTCTGGACGACAATTTCTTAATATCTATTATGCGGTGGTGTCTTGATTTCGGTATATGAATCGATACTTAAAAGTCGCATCATAATATAATAAAGAAATTGTCATCTATAAATATCATCACTTTCTTAGGACTCAATAAGGTTGGATTTTTTTATATGAAGAAAATGTAAGCTTGCTTTAGTGCGTCGGTTCTGTGGTGTAGTGGTTATCACGTCTGCTTTACACGCAGAAGGTCGCGAGTTCGAACCTCGCCAGAACCTCTTTTTGCAAGCATTTTTCATCTTCCCTTTCAACACCAGGGAAGCCAATGAATGATCCCCGTTTCCTTCACATATACTCGGTAAGTCATTTTATTGATATCGCCCTCTTCTATTTCGCATTTACCTTCCCCTGCACATGACTTTGGCTACATCTAGTTCGTTTGGTCAGAATGACCCTGACACCTTTCAAATACATAAAATATCCGTGCCAGAGAATAACTAGTATGAACTATCAGCCGAGATTTATTCCACTGGAAGTCATAGGCAAAATAGCAGTGAAAATGACATGAATGGGTCACTAAAAATCAGTATTGACAGCATGCATTTGTGTAAATTAAAAAGACTAAAATGTCGTGCTTTGAATTGCAGCAACTGTGGCCTTGTTTGAGTGTGATGGTTCTGTGGTGTAGTGGTTATCACGTCTGCTTTACACGCAGAAGGTCGCGAGTTCGAACCTCGCCAGAACCTCTTTTTTTTGTGCAAGCTGTTGTTCTTCTCATACATAACAATAAGACTGCCGTTCCACCTGCATTATTGTCAAATCAACCTGACTGGCAGTATTAACTGTTAAAATCTTAAAGGCGTTTTAGAAGTTTAGTGAGCGAGTTTAGTCTTACAGCGCTTTTAGCAATATTCCAGCAATATACAGGCGGAAGACAATACAAATTGGCTTCACACATTGTACCCACATGCGGAATCGAACCCGTTCTTCGATGTGAGGAATAAACACTTTAACCACTAGGCAAACGCACCGCCCTTTTAGAAGTTGACGAATAAGAAAATAGATATGATACTTTCTGGACGACAATTTCTTAATATCTATTATGAAATTGTCGGTGGTGTCTTGATTTCGTGGTATATGAATCGATAACTTAAAAGTCGCATCATAATATAATAAAGAAATTGTCATCTATAAATATCATCACTTTCTATCAGGACTCAATAAGGTTGTATTTTTTTTTATATGAAGAAAATGTAAGCTTGCTTTAGTGCGTCGGTTCTGTGGTGTAGTGGTTATCACGTCTGCTTTACACGCAGAAGGTCGCGAGTTCGAACCTCGCCAGAACCTCTTTTTGTGCAAGCTGTTGTTCTTCTCATACATAACAATAAGACTGCCGTTCCACCTGCATTATTGTCAAATCAACCTGACTGGCATTATTAACTGTTAAAATCTTAAAGGCGTTTTAGAAGTTTAGTGAGCGAGTTTAGTCTTACAGCTTTTAGCAATATTCCAGCAATATACAGGCGGAAGACAATACAAATTGGTTTCACACATTGTACCCACATGCGGAATCGAACCCGTTCTTCGATGTGAGGAATAAGCACTTTAACCACTAGGCAAACGCACCGACCTTTTAGAAGTTGACGAATAAGAAAATAGATATGATACTTTCTGGACGACAATTTCTTAATATTTATTATGCGATGGTGTCTTGACATCGGTATATAAATCGATACTTAAACGTCGCATCATAATATAATAAAGAAATTGTCATCTATATAAATATCATCACTTTCTTAGGACTCAATAAGGTTGGATTTTAAAACTGCTCACGAAACGTTTGTTTACACATCATAAACTATGCCCAGGTGGAATTTCAAGCACTGATGTTTGTTCAGTGTCAAAATGAAACAGGACATTTATCTTTGGTTATTTTCTGCAGCTGTTTTGAGGGCATTGCTGTAATGAAAGGTAGAGTTGACCCATGAAGATCCGAGTCAAAATCGGGATTCAATAACCCATGATTGTCATAAGAGGTTACTAAGCGGATCGGATGGTCAGGGACGCTGACTTGGCTGACACATAGATTGATGCTCGTGCTGTTCATCACTGGATGGTCTGGTCAGATCGCCACCCTTTAGCTGGAGTAATTAACAGATACACATACTGTGTTGGAAAATCAGAGGTATACAACGAAATTATAATAGCTCCAAATTTGATATAAAACCGAATGCATTAAGATTGAAAAAAAAACACATACTGCGCTGAAAAATCAGAGGTATACAATGTGATTATATACCTCTAAATGACGTATTTACTAAAGTCATGGTAGAATACTGATTTCTGCATAAAACAAAACTAAAAAGGTAGCGTTTAATACGATTCTCTCATTTCACAAATCTGGTAACCCTTTCAGTGTCTGCCATTACCATTTTGAGTAAATAAATCTTATCAGAAATAAACATCAGACAAGCTATTCTCGAAACGTTCGTAGCCCTACGAACTTCTTAAGACCATTCTCAACAAATTGGCTGCGATCAAAGTTAAGAATTCTTAGGGCTAAGAACGTTTCGAAAATAAGGGCCCAGGTCTGCTTTACATGCACAGCTGGAAACTCATTTTCCTTGTACAGCTTCCTTTTCATGTGCTAGTGAAATTTTTATTACATTAATTTTGTGATTGTCTACCTAGCTTTCGCTTTTCCTCTTCTGGTGTCAGTTCATTTTGTCCTGGATGCACATATGAGTTGTTGTTTTTTATAGCTGATACTAATTAGATGTTCATCTTGTTTACTTTTCCCCCTAAAAATGAATTCAAGTGCAGTCATTTTTCATTTTGTCTTGGATGCACTGAGGTTTTTCATAGCCAACATAAATCAAATGGTCACGTCCATTACATTTTTCCCTGAAAGGAATTCAAGTACAGTCAAACATATTATGCAGGAGTATTCCACGTGGTATATGACAATGTTGGAGGTAACTTGATGTCTTAGGATTTGTACAAAGGAAGCCTTTTGTAATCACATAAACCACTAAAACATATAACAGCAATAACCATTTTGAAAACATTTATTATCTTTCTATCAATATTTTGCTGATAATTTGATTGTATAGACACTGGACATGACCAGATGTAACTGGAATAATCTGGCAGAGAACTGGTTTTGGCTGGTCAGGTTGGAACTTGATCTTCATGAGACTGGAAAGATCTGTGAGTTGCTGCTGACACTGCTGCAGGCCCTGTCAGACATGGAGGAGTGAGTGACTGAGTATGGTTTTACACTGCTTTTTTTAGCAATATTCATGCAATATCATGTTGGTGGACAGTAGAAATGGGCTTCACACATTGTACCCATGTGAGGAATCAAACCCGGCCCTTTAGAGTGACGAGTGGACGCTTTCACCATTAGGCTACCCACCGCCCCTCAGACAACGAGGAATACATGTACACTGCTGTATGTGATAGCCAGCATTTGAGATTCTACACACAGCTAGGTTTCTGTGATTCAGCAACAATGGGAAATAAAGTGAGACTTGAGGCCCGGCCCGTTTCACAAAGCAATCGTAGTGCTACAACTGTCATAAGTCTATGTTAAAGTATGGGAGTTACGATCACCTTACTGTTACGACTGCTTTGTGAAACGGGCCCTGATCTGCCATATTTCCTAAATCGTGAATCTGTTTACTTGAAAAGAATGAAGTTGTTTATCTTTCATTCCTATAGAAATTCATGTCTTTGAGTGAGTGAGTGAGTTTAGTTTTACGCCGCACTCAGCAATATTCCAGCTATATGGCGGCAATCTGTAAATAATCGAGTCTGCACCAGACAATCCAGTGATCAACAGCATGAGCATCGATCTGCACAATTGGGGACCGATGCCATGTGTCAAGTAAGCCAGCGAGCCTGACAACCCGATCCCGTTAGTCGCCTCTTATGACAAGCATGGGTTACTGAAGATCAATATTCTAACCCGGACCTTCACGGGTACATAAGCCTTTGCACCATCATCATACGATCAATATGTTTGCATCCTTGAAGCTACCAACGATGTGTGGGTAATAATCTTGATTTTGCATCTTAGCTTTTTCACTCATTCTATTACAGGTCACGCAGGAACCAAGTTCTGCAAACTATGACCACCCAATGAAATGACCAACAGGAAATTAACATTACCAATCCAAAAGCATTCTGCAACTGTATGGACCATGTATTCAAAAAAGGCAACATCCTTACCACTCTCTTTTGAAAGATACCCCATTCAAAATTTGAAATTTTTCAGCATTTATAGATTGCTGACATTGTTTTCAAATTTTCATCGCTTTTACCCAACTGTAACTGTAAAACCCTGTGTTTGAAGGTGGCCATATTGTAAAAGGACAACTGGACTTTGACTTTAGTGATCTTTATGCATTGCTTGAAGTGAAGGTTCTTCTAACTTGACCTGTGATTGGATGTTGTCAGATCTTTGTGTAGCAGCCCATGAAGATCGGGGTTAGAATTAGCCTTCATTATGTTTCGTAAAGCGACTAATAGGATAGGGTGGTCAGGTTTGCTCACTTGGTTGACACATGTCATTATATCCCAATTGTGTAGAACCCCACAGCCTGAATTGGTTGACACATGTCATTATATCCCAATTGTGTAGAACAATGCTCATGCTGTTGATCACTGGATTGTCTGGTCCAAATTAAATTATTTTTCAGACTGGTGCCATAAAGCTGGAAAATTGCTGAGTGTGGTGTAAAACAACAATCAATGAACCAATCTTTGTGTAGCAGTAGCAAACACTCGGATCCAAGTTTAATGAAACTGATCTTGTACTTCAGAACAAGTGAATAATGATTTATCTGAAATCACAGTCACCATACCTCTGTCAGCACATCTTTGACAGTAGGATCCCTCTTGGCTCTTTGTTTCATTACCTGCAATAGGACACACGTAGCAGCCATTGTGAAACAACCAAAAAGTGCCATGGTACTGTAGCTCACCTGTCAATAGTTTCATGTGATATCATTTTAAGGATTCTGTCACCATTGAATAAAACATTTTCTACATTGATACTGGAAGGAAATGTTAAAGTCCAAAATGATTAACTGTTTCAGTAATATTCCTAGTTTGCAATAAAGCTACGAAACATATTGTTCTCCACACAAAGTTTCAACTTTGCCTGACATACTTCCTTAGAGCCATACAATCTCCTTCAAAAAGAAACTTTCTGTTTCGATGCTTCCATACAAGACAACAGAGACCGACCTCTAACGAACTTGACCTTAGCTTATCTAGTCAATACAAATACACTCACAACACTATCTTCTGCAGAGAATCCGATCAACTTTGTCAGGACCTGAAATCAAGAGTGCAAACGTATATGCAGTTTTCAACACGTGTACAACCACATGTGGTCAAGTTGAATGTTCGCTGTTTGAAAGGTCAGCATTGAGGGCATTTTCTAGGGGTGAAATGGTACATTCTTCCCTCGGTACGGTACGTATTGTGGTACAAAGCCTTCGGTTCGGTATATGATCATAATGCAGAAAACTGATAAGAGCAAAACCTTACCTTGTTTAATAACATGGAAAAAATGACCATAATCTTTGTAATTTTGAATTAACATAACTGTCATTATAGGTTAATAAAATGATGGTACGAAAACCGAATTTTATGATTACATTAGGGTATACCACACAGCACAGCGGTTCTACTAATACTGCGGTATTTCACCCTGGCATTTTCTACTTATACTGTCATAGTAGTATAGATGTTGTTTTTTAATGTCTGGACCAGATAATCCAGTGATTGACATCATGAGCATCGATCTAGTGGTCTTGAGTGCAGTTGTACAAATAACGTTCAAAAGGACAATATATGAGGGTCACCGTTACTCACGCTGTTCGACAGATCAACATTCAGGGCTGCAGTACCATCATTGACCTTGCAGGAGAGGCTCCAGGTCTTGCCCTGACAGCTGGTCAACTTGCTCGTCAAGGTGGAGATATAACCCTGTAACCATGGCAACCATGTGTCACAACCACTCTCACGTGACATTCATAAAGTTTTTACATTCTTCAGGTCTCAATTTGAGGCCCTATTTTCACCTCAAATATGAATGTGTTAGACACTATTTCCGACAAGTGAATAAATGGGTGAATGTTGTTTTATGATGATGTCAGAGTGAGTCAGTATGGTTTTATGTCGCGTTTAGCAATATTCCAGCAATATCACACCGGGGGACACCAGATATGGGCTTCACACATTGTACCCATGTGGGGAATTGAACCCAGGTCTTTGGCATGACGAGTGAACGCTTTAACCACAAGGCTACCCCACCACCCCACTGATGTCAGAAATATATACCAGTAGCCTGCAAATAATCAAACTAAGGCCAGGCAAACCAGTGGTTGATAGAATGAGCAACCATCTGTCAGCTGGGGCAGGATGACACCAAATCCTCACAAGTGGGATCTTAGGACAAGCTAGGGATACTGGGAACCTATTTTGTCCAGAATCCCCAACCTATGATATATCTACATCATGTACCTTGATTACAAACTCCTTTGTTTCTGTCACTGGCATTTTTCTGAGGATCTCTGAAAGATAGATGAATCTTTCCAGTACAGCTGGTGCTGATGGGCCTGGACTTGAACCCCCTCCAAGGAATCTATCCAACCTGGACTGTCCTTGGTTTCTGGGGGCACTCCTACTTGCCTGGTTTGATGGGACAGAGGTGGTTGAACCAACAGTTTTCATATTTGTTTTATTGGGAAATGGATGAATAACTGCTTTGGGAACATCAGTCTTACTACACACTTGGCCATCATCAGGACCAGGCTTTATCGTGTGTTTAGTGTACATAGTCTCAGAGCTCTGTCGGTCTTTGGCAGGAATGTCAAGCCTCATCCTCTTTGCTTGTACACCAGTGAAAGAGCTGGAAGTGTTACTTGGTTCAACATTACAACCATCAAAGTCAAAATCCTCCTCGAAGTCCTCATCAGCTACATATGCTGACCCTGATTTTTTATTTCTATCATGCTGTTTGTAATTCCTATTAACAGAAGGTCTGTTTTGTGAAGTAAACCCAATCTCTCCTGTTAAACGACTTTCAGGGACTTCACCAACCTCTTCCTTTCCCCTCGGGTGATCAATGCCTGTGGAAATAGAAACAGATTGCTTTCTGCTTTGTAAGGTGTTTTGATTGGTTCTGTTTGAGTCTAGTATCCTGTCTGGGTTTTGGACAACTCTGTTATTCGTCATTTTTCTTGAAGATTGACTTATTGGTTCCTGTTTAACCTCCTGCTTAACTGTCCTGGAAAAAGACGTCTGCATGTCAAAGTCATCATCAAAGTCATCCATGAACACATCCTCCTCAATGCCCATGTGATCAATGTGATTGGTCGACCTCCCAGTAGACGTCTGATGCTGGCTGGGAGGCTCGGCCTTTATTTGTCGTGTTGGCGGTTGAACTCTTGTGGTTGCCTGTGCTGTACTCTCCTCTTCCATGTCAGCCATGAGAGCATCGTAGTCAAAATCATCCTCCCACTGAAACAACAAAGTGTGGAATGGATAGTGTTATGTGGCAGTGTTATTCATTGTAAAACAGTGTTGTAACTGTAACATTGTCTTCAGTAGAGTGCAGTGGTGCCATTTTAACAAGAAGACAAAGTCATCAATATTCCCCGCAATGGCCAAATCTCTTCATGATTATGTCTACGAGTTACTATGTCAAATGTTTTGGTGTGTATGTAACTAAGTGGAAGGAGAGTACTGAAAGGTTTCAAAGTTCTGCTCCAGAAACGAGCACTACCACCAACTTTGTTGCCATGGAAACACAATTTTTTTTATTTTATTCAGAAATCCAAAAAGGTACCAGTTCACCACTAGACCTACCTATGTATGAAATTTGGTGATGAAACAGTGAACAGATTTTAAGTTCTGCTCCTGAAAAGAGCACTACCACCAATTTCAGTCAAAGTGAAACTTGTTGCCATGGAAACGCCAAAATATTTTATTCAGAAATCCAAAACTACCAAAAGGCACCAGTACCCCACCAGACCTATCAATGTGCCACGTTTGGTGAGGAAATAGTGAACGGTTTTAAAGTTCTGCTCCTAAAAAGAGTACTACCACCAATTTCAGTCTAAGTCAAACTTGTTGCCATGGAAAACCAAAAAATATTTTATTCAGAAATCCAAAACTACCAAAAGGCACCAGTAGACCACCAGATCTATCTATGTGCCAAGTTTGGTGAAGCATATTGAACGGTTTTAGAGTTATGCTCCAGAAAAGACAAATGTGCACGGACGCACGGACAGACGGAGTGCATTGTACCCTGTGTATTGTACACAATGTAACAGATACAACAAAGTGGTATGCTCTTTATACTTTCCGTTAAACATCAGAGGACTCACATCGTCAGGATCTGGCATTTCCGACTTGACACTAGTTTGATGTGAGGTGGTATTTCCTGAAAACAACAAATTTGAAGATTTCCAACAACAATTGCATAAAATAATAAACTATTACAAAATGACCTCTGAAATATATGACACATCACAGATACAGAATACATGGGTGTTCTATGTCTCTTGCTCATTAAATGCTATGCCAGCAGAATGTTCAAGATGAAACACAAATTACTTTAGTAAAATTAGATTAACATTGATATGGTTCTTCCAACCTAAAGAACATAGCGGGATATAGAATGTGACCAGATATCAGATGACCCTGCAAAGGGAGACAACTCTATCTCTTTGCTCCCACAGAGTACCGTATATGACCGTCTATAAGCCGAATTTTGAGGACCACAAAAACCAGTCTGTAGACACAGGGTTGGTCTAGCAGTTGACTGAAGTCTTATCCATTAGTTAGAATGCTTTGCAAAGGGAGACAAACTTTTTCCAGGGTAAAGAAAACAACATCTGTAGAAGGGGGTCGTATCATCTTGGCGTGAACAAACAACAGAAGATGACTTTGTCAGTAGAGACGTCAAATTTGCAATTAAACATCACTAGACAAGATTATTTACCTTTTAAGTTCTAAGTTGTTTTTGCTGGGCATTGTATTATTTGCAGGGATCAAGATTACCGTGTGTATCTGAGCCGGAAATAACAATCAGCTTTGCTCATGTTTCCCGGCGATCAAGTTCAAACATGCACAGATAATATAACGGGACGAATTCTGACGCAGTCATCAGTAAAATATAATACAGAGTACTATTATTTAACCCAAAGAAATATAACCTAGCATTGTGTAATTTTAGTTACAGTTTTTTGCTCTATAAATTAATTAAGATTATGATTACCGTGTGTATTTGAGCCGGAAATAACAATCAGCTGCATTTTTGCACACGTTTCCCGGCAATCAAGTTCAAACATGCACAATAATATAACGGGACGAATTCTGACGCAGTCGTCAGTAAAATATAATACAGAGTACTATTATTTAACCCAAAGAAATATAACCTAGCATTGTGTAATTTTAATTACAGTTTTTATTTAAATATATATAATCAACACTAAGGTTATACGGACCTTCATGAACGTGGTAAGCAGAATTGTACGCACTCATGGAATGGGGTAAAATACGGAAGCCATTTAAATTCACACATTTTTACCCATGTTACTGTAAACTAGCAGTCAATGGAAAACTAGGCGGTAATCAGTTCGTGATTGTTGAATGGGGTAAAATAAGCAAACCAGTTTGTTGCTACAATAAATATGATATTTAGAGAAGCAAAATATATTATGCATTTTCTGTCAACTACACTTCTTTTCGATCCGTGAGTAGACACAATATATATGATTGTGAATTATTTGAATAATGTGGACCAAAGTTATAATTATTGGTAACTGCCAGTTGTCTGTGGTCTGTGTTTGCCGCGATTAGGACCCCATCGCGGGGGATCGACTTATGCACGAAACATACCATTTTGACACTGATTTTAAGGGTCAAGTTTGGGGGTCGTCTTATCCATGGGGTCGTCTTATAGACGGTCATATACGGTACAATAGCCTTTTTCTGCTACATATCTCCTGCAACACCTGACTTAAAAATAGTGCCAATGTAGAACAGAAGATTTTAGAAGACACAAAACTATATCACAATATATCTTGAGTTATACTAAAACAGAAATTAAACAGTATAGACTGATCAACTATGATGAAGATATATAAAACTGTTTGTTTGTTATTTAACGCCACACTCAACAATATTACAGGTCGGTAAATAATCGAGTCTGCACCAGACAGTCAACATCATGATCTAGTTCTACGCAATTGGGATACGATGACATGTGTCAACCAAGTCAGCGAGCCTGACCACCCGATCCCATTAGTCACCTATTATGACAAGTATTGGCTGCTGAAGACCAGTCGTAACCCAGATCTTCACGGGTTACAAAATCTTTCATGACAATTCATCATAACATTCAATTTTACATGTGCTTACTTATACCATAATTGTTTGATAACATGTTCAGCAATTTGAGTAAATTATCAGTTCTTTGGTTCCTTTTTTCCCACGGTCTGTAATGACAAACATGGGTTGCTGTAGACAAATTCGAAGGTACTGGTAAGATAGGAATGGTAGAAACATATAAGAATACATAGTTTTACCCTGTATACCCAGCGACATATTTCTTGTTGAATTGTACCGCTGTGTACTGTGTTGTGCTGCTTCTCTCTTGATATTCTCCTGTTTAAACCCTGGAGCTGATCTGGGTGTTGTTCCAGAGTGGTGCATGCTGGCCACGCCTTTCTTGTCTTCCCCCTTTACTCAGCATGCGTCCAGAGAACTCTTGTCTCTCGCTCTTCCCCTCATTGGTCTGCCCAACCTGCCTGTGAAGCAGAACCATCAAACTGGGATATAAGATATATGCATTCTTTGGAACGTCCAGGCAAAATATTTTTGAAAATTCAAGGCCATTTAAAGTCACATTGACAAATTCTGCGAAAAGTTATTCAATCTCTTCAGGTAGTTTTGTTTATGAATTAAAGAAGTCTTTGGACAGATTTATCAATGATTTGTGAACTACATGATTTTGTTTGTTTGTTTGTTGTTATTTAAACTCCACACTCAGCAATACAATGCAGTGATCTGTAACTAATCGAGTCTGGACCAGATAATCCAATGATCAACATCATAAGCATCGCTCTATGCAATTTAGACACAATGACGTATCAACCAGGTCAGCAAACCTGACCAGCCAATCCTGCTATTCGCTGCTTATGACAAGTACACGTTGCTGAAGACCGATTCTAACCTGAATCTTCATGGGTGTGGACTGGTTTGCTTCCCAGCTACCACAATACAATAAACAAGCAAAATTCTTTCACTACACAAATACTTAACATGATTATTATCAACATAATAAAATAAAAACAATTAAATCACATGTTGTCAGTTCATTTCTGGAGCCCTGTTAGCTATTATATACCGAGGACTGAATTTTGATTCAAATAGTAAAATCTACAATGTGTTTGACCCATTCCGCTGCAGACTGATACACACATTGAAATTTAAGCCTGGGTCCAGCACAAAACATGATTTCTCGCATCATAAGAATACTCTGCAAATTATCCACAAAATTAAAATTGTGGCATACAGTGGAGTGAGTGAGTATGGTTTTACACCGCTTTTAGCAATATTCCAGCAATATCACGGCGGGGACACAAGAAATGGGCCTCAGATATTGTGCCCATGTAGGGAATCGAACCCCAGGTCTTCTGCGTGATGAACCAATGCTTTAACCACTAGGCTACCTCATCGCCCCAGAATACAGTGGAGACTGACTGACACAAAACGCAACTTTCCATGAGATAGGTACATTTCTGCATCATAGGGATATTCTGCAAAACATTGTGCAACTACAAAGTTGCAGAACACTGCGGGAACTGGTGCACACAAAGTCAGCAAAACAGCACAAAGACTTGATACGTACATCGCTGCAGCCAGCACAGCCTCGGGGGTGTGGGTCTCCATCAGACTGTCCACCTCTCCCCCAAGGATCTGGACATTCTCGGGCCCTAGCATCAGCATCCCGTGGCGACATAGCACCCTGCCCTTTACCAGCATCTGGCAACAAGCAGGAGATATACACAGGACACTCATACAGGGTTTTACGGGAGAGAAATGTGCGTCCAGGACGCACAAATGTATGGAATGAACACAGAAAAATACATATACCATGTTCCCTGGGATGCACAGTAACATTCACTGTTCAAAACTTCTAACAAGAAATAAAGTTCATGTGAGTGAAGTGGAGTGGCGTGGAGTTGCATGCCGCTTTTAGTAATATTCCAGCAATATCAGCAACACCAGAAATGGGCTTCACATATTGAACCAATGTGGGGAATCGAACCCAGGTCTTCTTTGTGATGAGTAAACACTTTAACCACTAGGCTACCCCACCACCCCTAAAGTTCATGCAATTAAAGCAATCATTAAACCTTACAGTATAGTCTGCTACACAATTTCTTCATTTTCCAGGACCCTCGAATTTCATGTAAGGACCCTTGAAATTAGTAAGCAGGAGTCCTGTGGCCTGTTGGTCAAGGTAAAACCCTGCTTATATACATGCTATGTACTCTTGAAGGAATTCTACGAAAATGACTTCTGAAAAATAGTGCCCAGGAACTGCCTGACATAGCACCATTCTGAGAGAGTTATATTTAGTGAAAACTTTAGTCATTAATTCAGTAAAGGTTCTGTTAACAAGCTCTCAATTGTATTATATTTACTGCCTATCAAGTTTTCAGTAGATTCCTAAGCAATATCCCCTTGAGAATGCATTACCAACAAACATTCCTGTAAACATCCTCCAAAAGTTTCAGTTCATTTCTTCTTCAGAGAGAGTAGACGTATCGGAACTATACTTCAGCCCTACCTTGTCCCCGGAGTGATGAAGGGTCACCCCAGGAATATTTGCCACGATGATGAGACATATCGGAACTATACTTCAGCCCTACCTTAGTCCCCAGAGTCATGAAGGGTCATCCCAGGTATATTTGCCGACGATGATGAGGCGTGCTCGGAACTATACTTCAGCCCTACCTTAGTCCCCAGAGTCATGAAGGGTCATCCCAGGTATATTTGCCACGATGATGAGACGTATCGGAACTATACTTCAGCCCTACCTTAGTCCCCAGAGTCATGAAGGGTCATCCCAGGTATATTTGCCACGATGATGAGACATATCGGAACTATACTCCAGCCCTACCTTAGTCCCCAGAGTCATGAAGGGTCATCCCAGGTATATTTGCCACGATGATGAGACATATCAGAACTATACTTCAGCCCTACCTTAGTCCCATCCAGGAGTCATGATGAAGGGACACACCAGGTATATTTGCCCACGATAATGAGATGTATCGAACTATACTTCAGCCCTACCTTAGTCCCTCCGGAGTCATGAAGGGACACACCAGGTATATTTGCCGCGATGATGAGACGTATCGAACTATACTTCAGCCCTACCTTAGTCCCCAGAGTCATGAAGGGTCATCCCAGGTATATTTGCCACGATGATGAGACGTATCGGAACTATACTTCAGCCCTACCTTAGTCCCCAGAGTCATGAAGGGTCATCCCAGGTATATTTGCCACGATGATGAGACGTATCGGAACTATACTTCAGCCCTACCTTAGTCCCCAGAGTCATGAAGGGTCATCCCAGGTATATTTGCCACGATGATGAGACGTATCGGAACTATACTTCAGCCCTACCTTAGTCCCCGGAGTGATGAAGGGACACACCAGGTATATTTGCCACGATGATGAGACGTGTCGAACTATACTTCAGCCCTACCTTAGTCCCTGGAGTGATGAAGGGACACACCAGGTATATTTGCCACGATGATGAGACATATCGGAACTATACTTCAGCCCTACCTTAGTGCCCAGAGTCATGAAGGGACACACCAGGTATATTTGCCACGATGATGAGACATATCGGAACTATACTTCAGCCCTACCTTAGTCCCCAGAGTCATGAAGGGACACACCAGGTATATTTGCCACGATGATGAAACGTATCGGAACTATACTTCAGCCCTACCTTAGTCCCTGGAGTGATGAAGGGTCATCCCAGGTATATTTGCCACGATGATGAGACGTATCGGAACTATACTTCAGCCCTACCTTAGTCCCTGGAGTGATGAAGGGTCATCCCAGGTATATTTGCCACGATGATGAGACGTATCGGAACTATACTTCAGCCCTACCTTAGTCCCCGGAGTGATGAAGGGACACACCAGGTATATTTGCCACGATGATGAGACATATCAGAACTATACTTCAGCCCTACCTTAGTCCCCGGAGTGATGAAGGGACACACCAGGTATATTTGCCACGATGATGAGATGTATCGGAACTATACTTCAGCCCTACCTTAGTCCCCGGAGTGATGAAGGGACACACCAGGTATATTTGCCACGATGATGAGACATATCGGAACTATACTTCAGCCCTACCTTAGTCCCCAGAGTGATGAAGGGTCATCCCAGGTATATTTGCCACGATGATGAGACATATCGGAACTATACTTCAGCCCTACCTTAGTCCCCAGAGTCATGAAGGGTCATCCCAGGTATATTTGCCACGATGATGAGACATATCGGAACTATACTTCAGCCCTACCTTAGTGCCCAGAGTCATGAAGGGACACACCAGGTATATTTGCCACGATGATGAGACGTATCGGATCTATACTTCAGCCCTACCTTAGTCCCCAGAGTCATGAAGGGACACACCAGGTATATTTGCCATGATGATGAAACGTATCGGAACTATACTTCAGCCCTACCTTAGTCCCTGGAGTGATGAAGGGTCATCCCAGGTATATTTGCCACGATGATGAGACGTATCGGAACTATACTTCAGCCCTACCTTAGTCCCTGGAGTGATGAAGGGTCATCCCAGGTATATTTGCCACGATGATGAGACGTATCGAACTATACTTCAGCCTACTACCTTAGTCCCCGAGTGATGAAGGGTCACACCAGGTATATTTGCCACGATGATGAGACATATCAGAACTATACTTCAGCCCTACCTTAGTCCCCAGAGTGATGAAGGGACACACCAGGTATATTTGCCACGATAATGAGATGTATCGGAACTATACTTCAGCCCTACCTTAGTCCCCTCGAGTCATGAAGGGGACACACCAGGTATATTTGCCATGATGATGAGACATATCGAACTATACTTCAGCCCTACCTTAGTCCCCAGAGTGATGAAGGGTCATCCAGGTATATTTGCCACGATGATGAGACATATCGGAACTATACTTCAGCCCTACCTTAGTCCCCAGAGTCATGAAGGGTCATCCCAGGTATATTTGCCACGATGATGAGACATATCGGAACTATACTTCAGCCCTACCTTAGTCCCCAGAGTCATGAAGGGTCATCCCAGGTATATTTGCCACGATGATGAGACATATCTGAACTATTCTTCAGCCCTACCTTAGTCCCCGGAGTCATGAAGGGTCATCCCAGGTATATTTGTCATGACGATGAGACATATCGGAGCTATATCGCAACCCTACCTTCGTCCCCGGAGTCATGAAGGGTCATCCCAGGTATATTTGTCATGACGATGAGACATATCGGAGCTATATCGCAACCCTACCTTCGTCCCCGGAGTCATGAAGGGTCATCCCAGGTATATTTGCCACGATGATGAGACATATCGGAACTATACTTCAGCCCTACCTTAGTCCCCGGAGTCATGAAGGGTCATCCCAGGTATATTTGCCACGATGATGAGACATATCGGAACTATACTTCAGCCCTACCTTAGTCCCCGGAGTCATGAAGGGTCATCCCAGGTATATTTGTCATGACGATGAGACATATCGGAGCTATATTGCAACCCTACCTTCTTCCCCGGAGTCATAAAGGGTCATCCCAGGTATATTTGTCATGACAATGAGACATATCGGAGCTATATCGCAACCCTACCTTCGTCCCCGGAGTCATGAAGGGTCATCCCAGGTATATTTGCCACGATGATGAGACATATCGGAACTATACTTCAGCCCTACCTTCGTCCCCGGAGTGATGAAGGGTCATCCCAGGTATATTTGCCACGATGATGAGACATATTGGAACTATACTTCAGCCCTACCTTAGTCCACAGAGTCATGAAGGGTCATCCCAGGTATATTTGTCATGACGATGAGACATATCGGAGCTATATCGCAACCCTACCTTCGTCCCCGGAGTCATGAAGGGTCATCCCAGGTATATTTGTCATGATGATGAGACATATCGGAGCTATATCGCAACCCTACCTTCGTCCCCGGAGTGATGAAGGGTCATCCCAGGTATATATGTCATGACGATGAGACATATCGGAGCTATATCGCAACCCTACCTTCGTCCCCGGAGTCATGAAGGGTCATCCCAGGTATATTTGTCATGACGATGAGACATATCGGAGCTATATCGCAACCCTACCTTCGTCCCCGGAGTCATGAAGGGTCACCCCAGGTATATTTGTCATGATGATGAGACATATCGGAGCTATATCGCAACCCTACCTTCGTCCCCGGAGTCATGAAGGGTGTGAGTGCTGCAACAGGTCTGTACTCCATCCCCTTGACATCGGACACTCCATCGGTCAGTTTGAGAACTATCATGCGTGTAGGCTTGGGCTCCCACTGAAACACAGATCATCACCTGGTTGGAGATGTGACAACTAGTGTTGGGAATTGGTTGAAATCTCACAATTGATGATTGGTTCATTACCTACGAGCAATCACAGAAAAAATTGGTTAGCATCACTTTTCAGATTTTCCTATTCAGGTTGTTTGCAGATAAGTATAACATGGTTCTCTGTTGTTTTTTGTTGTATTTAGAAACTGTGCCATTCCATTTGCAAACTTCACATCCAATGTAAAATGATGCAACTTGCTACTTTAAAGTGATGACTCATATATCATGAACATAAACTTCCCAGAGTCTTCAGAAATATTCAGTTGTGACTTTTCAGGTGGTGACGTTAGTTTTCTAAGAATTAAACACAGTTTCAGGCCCTGACAACTTCTAAGATATGTTCCATCGTCAAGTGTTTCAAACACTAAAACAGTAGTTCCAAAATCGCTTGTGTTCAATTATGAGAAAATGTGATCAATAGCTTGGTTGTTTGGTCACTCTGACCAATCTTCAATTATTTCAATTAATTGGAGCACCCAAACGGAAGAAAAATGTCCCTGAAAATATCAACACTTGTGGAGGTGGCTTGTATTTCATAAAGGGCAGGATAGCCTCGTGGTTAAAGCTTTTGCTCCTCACGCCAAAGACCTAGCGTTGGATATCAGTTATACCACAGCAAAACTTAATTACAGTGAAGCCCCGTTAGTCCGACTCCGATAATCCGGAAGTCTTCAAGCCTCGGGCGATTTCAGCTTGTTACCAATCTATGCCTATATAATTTGCCTCGATAATCCGGAAATTGCTTTCGAACCGGACGGTAAGTAGCTGTCACCAATCAGTAAAATAAACAGTAAATTGCTTCACAGTCCGGACACTGTAAGTCGTGTTCACGAACCGTAACAACACCGCCCAGCGATGTTTACTTAATTAACTGGGTTGTTGTTTTAATTAGACATAAAAAGCTCCCGACTGAAGATACTGTACATTTACACTTTGATTGACACCACAATACAAAGGCGTGGATGACAAGTGAACTGTTTTGTGATTGGTTAATGTACTTTGACAGAGAGATCCGGTCACGTGGACTAAAAGTGATTTTGCTTTTACTTACGACAATGCTGCAAGTCACAAGTGTGCTTCGCTAACTTTGCGAAATGTAACCAAATACCACGTCTCATATTCAACCGATGGATGCAGGAATAATTCGGACATTCAAGGCATACTACAATAGATCGCTTGTTAGACATTACCTCACCTGTGCTGAGGAAGGACGTGATCAGACACGTCGGATCAACATGCGGATGTCACTCGGTAAAATTATTGATGTGATGAATTAAGCTTTACATTAAATGCTTATTTGTTTTATCCAGATTCGTGTCGTTTTTGTAATTCTTAGGGAAGCAACTTGGGTCTTGATTCAGTAGTCCGGACTATTCGCAATCCGGATGAATTTACTGAGAAACGCAACCGTCCGGATTAACGAGGCTTCACTGTATACCATAAGATATGATTTTAGAACCGCATGCCTCAGTCATACCACATCGCATCTCAGTTATACTAGTCCTAGTTTTGCCATGACATGTCTCAGCTATAACTGAGTCTCTCTGACAGCATGGAGAGTCTCATCTATGCCACATGTTATATCAATTATACCACAATGTGACTCAGTTGTACGTCACAACAATACCATGGCACATCAGTTATATCATGTCAAAATTATACCACAGCATGTCTCAGTTATAAAACAGCATGTCTCAGTTATACCTCAACATGTCTCAGTTATACCAAAGTATGTCTCAGTTATACCTCAGCATGTCTCAGTTATACCACAGCATGTCTCAGTTATACCACAGCATGTCTCAGTTATACCACAGCATGCCTCAGTTACACCACAGCATGTCTCAGTTATACCACAGCATGTTTCAGTTACACCACAGCATGTCTCAGTTATACCACAGCATGTCTCAGTTATACCACAGCATGTTTCAGTTACACCACAGCATGTCTCAGTTATACCACAGCATGTTTCAGTTATACCTCAGCATGTCTCAGTTATACCACAGCATGTCTCAGGTTTACCACAGTATGTCTGAGTTATACCACAGCATGTCTGAGTTATACCACAGCATGTCTGAGTTATACCACAGCATGTCTGAGTTATACCACAGCATGTCTGAGTTATACCACAGCATGTCTCAGTTATACCACAGTGTGTTTCAGTTATACCTCAACATGTCTCAGTTATAAAACATCATGTCTCAGTTATACCACAGCATGTTTCAGGTATACAACAGCATGTCTCAGTTATGCCACAGCATGTCTCAGTTATACCTCAGCATGTCTCAGTTATACCACAGCATGTCTCAGTTATACCATGGCTTATCTGTTTTACCCTGGTGAGTCTCGGTTGCTTGTAGTAAGTATCATATACATGACCATGTGATCAGAAGCATCAGGGACTTACTGCTGGCTGTCTGGTGTCATCTGCTGATACTTGTGCATTGGGGTTCTCCTCGTCCCTTTATCTTCTGACCTTGGGAGTAGAAGGAACTCCCTACATTCACTGCTGAATCAATCTAGGGATAAAGACAAAGCAAGACAGTCAGCATAGGCTGTATCTAGCTGCACTCTACAATATCAAAGTTCTTGAAAGTTTGACTCAGCATACACCTGATGAAGGAGCCAAAATTGGCTCTGAATTTTTTTATGAAAAATATAAAGAAGTTGTTACAAAAAAAACGTGTCAAGTATTCTATCAGGTATTCGGCAACCCATGCTTGGGTGGAATTGGGTGGTCAGGTTGGCTGATTTGGTTGACATATGTCATTGTATCGACTTGATTATTTACGACCATATAGCTGAAGTGAGTGAGTGAGATTAGTTTTACGCTGCTTTTAACAATATTCCAGTTATATCACGGCAGGGGACACCAGAAATGGCTTAAACCCAAACACACACACACACACACACACACACACACACACACACATATAGCTGGAATATTGCTGAGTGCAGCATCAAACAACAAACAAACAAAACAAAATTGTTTGCACTTTTGGCAGTAAGAATAACCATAACAAGTATTACGTACTTGTAATGCAAATATGCCACTGATCTCGATCTTCCGTGCCTCCAGCAACTCTAAAGGGAGACAACCCATCTTCAACTCCCGTAAGTCTGACATCAACCACTGTTCGTACACCTGGTTCTTCAGGGACTGTAGACTTACGTCGGATCCCTGTCAGACATAAATATGCTTGTTATTTTTGTAGAGCATAGAAAACTGCAGAAACAATTTTGACATTCTTTCAAGTATCTAATAAAATTGAATTGTAAGATACACACTACATGTTGATTTCTACATGTTCCAATTAATAGATTAATGAAGAATCCAGATCAGATCAAATGATTTTAGAGATTTTGGCTCTATGACCTATATTACAATAGATATAATTATCAAATAATAAGAAAGGACATGTTATATTAAATTTCAAGGTTTTATAAGCCTGCTTGACCCATGATGTCAAAGGGATTCAAGTTTGTTCTATATTGATTCATATTTTCCCCCCAAAAAAACTAAATGGAATGCTCAGTGCCCTAATATTAAAGGCCACATGCAACCAATAAAAATCAAATATAATTAAAACACAATTATCACTTATTCATGACATATAATATACATTGTTGGTTATGAAAAAACATATAAACAAAAAATTATAAGCGTACAATCGCAAATCAAAAGTGCAATATTGTGTACTTCGGTTTACTTCCAAAGAAACGAAGCAGCTGGGATACCCAACCCAGTCAGAGCGGATGGGTGTGCACTCAAGTGTAACGGCTGGTTCATTTGCAGATGCCCTAACTATTGTGTGAGTATATATAGAGATGTTGGGTTTTGTAAATACATGCTCATTTTTTGTGTATAACATTTTGCAATCAACAGACATCATAACATGTCATGTGTTCAAGTATCACACCTACCTGTCTGTGTAATTACATAATGTGACAGAGACCGAACTCGGGCCATAAATCAATGCATTTTGTTAATGGTGTATAGCCTGATTGGTGTTAAGTTCAAATTGCATGTGGTCAGTGAACGCAGCTGTGTATGGAATATTGTCATTAGCAGACAGGCAGGCAGACACACAGGTGTCAATAAAACAAGACATTGAGTTTTGTCTGTGACAACGACATATCTATATCACAGTTAGAAATTCTGTCAACGCTAAATAATGACATTGCTTTTAAGTATCGAACTGAGAAAGTGACTCGGTAAGAAGAACGTGTGGTGAAATAGACAAATGAAATTATATAAACAGTTTATTTACTGTCATAACATATGAAAAGCTCGCGCCTGTGAGATATCAACAAAACATTATGAAAATAGCTCACACCAAAGCCTTCACCGAGTATTCACCAGACAGCCCGCTTCCAAGCTGCGCGAACCTATTTCACTGCGCACGTGCTATGAGCCCAGCCCAGCTGTTGAAACCCGTTTTCCCCAGAAAAGTCGGGGGAAAATTAGTGAAACGTTTAAACTCCGATTTCGCACGTTTTTTTTCATCGCGTTATTTTTCAACTTTATAAGTTGAATTTGCATTTTTGACGATTTGTTTCGGTAAGTCCATACCGAAAGGTATCAGAATCTGCAAAGTTGTGTTTTACGTTGCAAGTGACCTTTAAGGCGACTGAGAATGTTTATCCCGTTACGTTCCCAACAAGTCGCTCACGTGATGAACATCATACATTGTCCTGAAAATGTTTAAGCAGGTGCAACTTTACTGCAATATTTTAATTAAAACTGACAATAAGTCTCCTTTACACTGGGGACAACTGAAGCTAATGTTTTGATTTGTCCAGATGTTACACGTTGGGGGTCGGGCACTGATTTTCCACACCACTGTGCTGATGTAACATGTCCATTTAAGTAACACAAACGTGCTGTGAGTTTCTGACAGGTCCATTTTCTTTAAGACTGAATAATTCTCATCAACAAGGATTGTAAAGATATTTTTCAATTTTTTTCCAATGATTACATGTTTGGGCATCAGGCATTGATTTTTGACACCGCTGTGCTGATGCACGTACATACCAATATATGTAATGCAAACAAGACCTGGGTTTCTGACAAGTCCATGTTCTGAAAGACTGAATAATTGTCATCCAGATGAATTCAACAGATATTTTTCAATTTTTATACAGTCAAACATGTCAATATATATAAATTAAAAATGAACTGACGTAATTTGTCTCGATCACAAATTACAGGGTGCCAATGAATAATATATACCTTAACAATCAGCAAGTCTGCAACAAGTCTCTACCTCGATATGTACAAACACAAAAAATGATGGCCGACCTACTTCGTGACCAAAGCTTACTGGATTTTCTTCTTGAATCCATTCTAGACAAGCCTCCAGCCAGTCCTCCGGGACCGTGACACAGTAGGAGGTCTTCAGCCAGGTCTTCAGGGCACCCACGTGGCTCATCATCATCACATGACTAGTAGCAGGTCTGCTTCCTTCAACAGGAGTGAGTCAGTTGGATTTTACGTCGCATTTAGTAACATTCCCGCAATATCACGGCAGGGGACACCAGAAATGAGCTTCACATCTTGTACCCATGAGAAGAATCAAACCCGGGCCTTTGGCATGACAATGGAACACTTTAACCACTGGGCTACCCCACCGCCCCGCCAATCAAAGAAGTTAACTAAATATCCTGTAAAATGTGTCAGTTACAATTTGAATTGAAGGGAATGAATGGGGTTAGTACTGACCAGCACTAGGGCTTGCTAAAGAGATCAGCAATATTGTTGTTAGAAAGAAATGTTAACGAATATTGATGTGAAAAATGGCATCAGGTAAAACATAAACTATTGTGAAGAAATGTAGTTTTTGTCCTGTTGGAAAATCCTCACTGGATCTAACTGTGGAGCAATTTAACGCTTCCATAACTATTTATAAAGTAGTTGTCAGTTTTTAGTACATCAAATGAACTTCATTGGTGTAAAAATAATGCATATACTCATAATTGCTGCATACTGAAGTACCAGTCTAAGTAAACTTAGGCTCAGTATAATTCGTTACACTACTATACCGAGCCTAAGTTTACTTAGACTGACTGAAGTACATAATTTTATACATGTACACATGTAAACATTTGCAAGGTGAATGTTTTTCATAAGCATAGCCAATCAAACATGACAATTCAAGGGGATTCCCTTGTTTTCAATAAGGCACTCCCTTACTGGTCCAACACCCAGTTTGTTGGGTGGGTGACGATAAGTGGCAAACACTGATTCCACAGGCTAATTAAAATGGACTGTGAGTTTTGTTTCCCTTTAATGATTTATTGTTCTCTATGATAACATATATACCCCAGAGATGACCGAACTGTTTACTCCCCCAATGTCACACACGGAACAGGGTAACAGGGAGTACCTTCTTTGGTAATGACATGGTCAGGGGATTGCATCATACACTTTCAAACTCTCCAGTCAGATGCTACTATCCATTACAACACAAATACACAACATATATAGTATGACCAGAAATTATTGAGAATTTTAGGAATATGTTTAATTGGATTTCTAGTATCAACAACCTTGACCAGCTATCAAGTGCTTGGTTTCATTCAAGAGACAACTCTGTTAATTCTTTTTCATTAGTTTGTGAAGAGTTATCCCCCTTTGTTTACTTGCTAGCAGACAACATTTTCAGTGATCCTCAGTATGGATCATTTAGAGAAGAAGAAGTTGATTTTAGAGTATTATAACAAGGACGTCAGATCAGCTAATGTGATTTCAAGTAGAACAGGCATCCCTTTGTCCACTGTTTATCGTGATTTGAAAAATATTGCAAATGGACATGGCATTGAGCACCAGGGAGGCGCAGGTAGGCCCAGAAAATTGACTGTCGGTGACAGGAGGCGGCTTGGTATTCTTGTTTCTAAAAACAAACGAAGGAGTTTAGAAAACTTAAGGCTGGATATGATTGATAGAGGAACTGTGGCTGTCTGTAAGGAGACAATTAGAACTGACCTGCATGCAGTGGGTTGGTAGAAAAGTCGAGGAATTCCATCACCGATCATGAAACCTGAACAAAAGGAGCGAAGGTTGAACTGGTGCTTACAGCATAGAAATTTTAACTGGGACAATGTGATTTTCTCAGATGAAAGTTCTGTGTGGCTGTTTCCTAATACACTGAAATTCTAGACCAAAATAACTGAAAAACCTTTGTATTAGCACCCAAAGTACAGTCCAAAATTTAACGTGTGGGATGGCATATCTGTGTTAGGGGCAACTCCCCTCTATTTGAAGGGAATATGAACAGTGAGTGGTACACAGATATTCTCGAGGGACATTTACTTCCATCTGCTCACGTGTTCTATGGAAATTTTTGGATTTTCCAGCAGGACAACGACCAAAAACATCGTTCAAAGCATTCACAGGCCTGGTTTCGGACACAAAATATGACATTATTAGATTGGCCAAGCTATAGCCCTGACCTAAATCCAATAGAAAATGTTTGGGGACTTATAAAGGAAAGTGTCAATAAGAAAAATCTGACAAATATTGCTGAAATGAAAGAAGAGGTGGTCCGATATTGGGACAGCATGGACCACGACTTTCTAACTTCTTTGATCAGTAGTATGCCCCGCCGCATTGAAGCCTGCATTGCTGCCTGCATTGCTGCCCATGGTGACATGAAAAAGTACTCACTGTTCACCTGTCCTTGAATCTGGAATTATGTTCTGCTAATATTCACATTTAATATGTGAGTAATGAGTGAAAAAAAATATTAGATTGTCAATAATTTCTGGTTGTACTGTATATAGCTCAACAGCATTTTGTCTGTGAATGAGGACTGGGGCCCTATAAGCCATTTTATGTGTTTCCAATGACAGCGCAATTTTCAACTTGTATTATATATATATAGAGTATATATATTTCAAGATACTCTGAAAATTAAATGCAGGCATCTCACGGACAGATAAATGATAATGTCAACTGATTAACTGAAAATGCCTGCAAAGCCAAAGGACATCCAGCACCAAATGCTCGGACCTCGTTGTATTGCGGCATTCCTCGTATCGCAGCAAACAGTATTTCCGATTACGCAAGTACCGCGATTCAACGAGGTCGCACGCGAAAGACAAGCCGAGAGCCGCGATGCAGTCCTATTATATTGTCAAGACCTTCCAGTACGACCGCATCGCTGCTCGGCTAGCTACACACACTTCACAAAATGTCAAACATATTCATGCAGTGTTTATGTTAATATGTATACTTCACTCGCATTTGATTGAGTGACACTTAAATTATAAGAAACGCGATATATATACGACTGTCACGAAAACTGCCATACCCTCTCTATAAAGAGTTTTAACTCAGTAGATCTTCGATGTTGACATCTGTCTAGATACCATCTCAACTTCCGTGTATTCGCGCCACAAGGGAGAATTTGTTACTGCGTAAAGTCCAATATTCGTCCCACGAATAAACACTATCAATAGTCAATATATATAGTTATAACTTATTATACATATTTATACCATATTCACCTAACCTACATATTTCCGAAAAACAAGGCATTTCCACACTCCGCCGGGTATTACAAATCTGAAAATGAATACTCCGTGTCTATTCACAAACTGATGACGTTTTGTGGTATATTTGTATGGCGCTTTATTTGAAATACTTTCAAGCAGTTGCAGTTGGGGTGTTATGGGTGTGACTATGTCACATGGCGAGACCCAAGTTTCTGGAAGGCGAAAGTTGCCATTTGGAGGCAATTTGTTAGAACGTATTCGAACGGGTCCCTTTTCGAAAAGAAGAAATCACATTTCAGGAACACCAAAAACAGATGGTAAACTTCAGAACCAGCTGGTGTTTGACTGAATTTGCCTTGAATTTACATTTAAAAATTCCATACAATCAAATTCATTATTGATAATGTGGAAATACAGTTTAAAGTTAAATGGAAACAAGAATAACAATACTGTAATGTAATAACATAAAGAACCTATGTTTTGTAACTTCAAAGCAACACCAGTAATTTTCCACATTTATAAAATCATTGACATGATGCATAAAATGCTCATTTTTGTTTTCAGATCTGAGTCCGGACTTAGTCAGGACGTATTTAGCAGAACACCCATTATTTCTGGAAAGTATTGTTAAAGAGAAAACCCAAAAGAAAGATTTGCTTGGTGTTCAATGTGACAGTATTGGGAGGAAGAAAAGCAAAACCTTGGGTGGTATAACTTCCCTTTTATAATGCTAGTTAAGTTTTTTCTGAAGAAACAGTTATCTAGTGCTCTGTTATTTGTCATATGAATATATTAAAATACATACATGCAAGCTCCATAAGGGACTGTTCTTAATTTATGAACCATTTTGTTCTGAGGATTTTGTACACATGTACAAGAGGGGGTAAGCAATTTTGTGCATAAAAATATTTAAAAATTATGCTCAGAAATTATAGGAAGGAGGAGGGGGTTCATTGATTTTGTACATGATATGCAGGGGGGGGGGGCACTTACTTTGTATGTAAATTTTATGGGGAGTCATTCACATTGTACATGCTTCTGCATAAAAATCATCATCACCCTTCCTTGCCATAAATTATGAACAGTCCCTAACTTTCAAAATGGAAGTGCTTGTATTGTTTTTGAAACAGTCAACAACATGATTTACCAGTAAAGTGACTTTCCCTGAATACTTGAGTGAGTAAGTTAATATTTGACATTGCATCAGCTTTTTTCAGCCATATGTATAATACATATACCCCAGAATACTGGCAGATTTAGACATAGCAAAATTCACCTTTTGTGAACCAGGATGAGTTTGCAATCAGGAAGATGCATATGACACATAGACATGACATATGTTTGCACCATACAGCTTATGTTTTTACTGTGTAGTTGCACAATGTATTACAACCATTAATTTAACTGCTATCTATATAAAGACTAATAATATTGATATCAAACTCAGACTGTATTTTACTCTGATTATATTTTCCAGATGAGTGTCTGATGGAAATCCTACTATTTATAAATATATTATATAAAACACTAAATTTGTTGGAAATGCCAGTAAACAGACCTTTAGATTTTAATTTCTTTATCATTTGTTTCAGTTTGAGCCTTGTTTTGTCATGACATATGAAAAATAGAATTCACAAATTTTCCTAATCTGTGTAATTCTTGTTTTTCAGCTCAAGAGGCTTCACATACATTTCTTGCACTAAAGACAAAGGTTTGTTTCATGTAAAAACGTTTTAAGCCATCACACTCTGATCATCTGAGCATCAATCATTGCCTCCTTTTTTCTTCAATTACACATACCCTTGTTAGTTACATTGACCTTTTCGTCAAAGAAATTATTTAGTGATGAAATTGCAAAATTCATACATATGTTTACATTATATCCATTCACCTGATAAAATCAAAAACTAAAATTGCAAAATGAAAACTAGTTCAGTAATACTTATTAGATTTAAACATTGTTCTGGATCCCTGTTATTGACAATAGCTTTCAAAATTCAGAGATTTATAATGGTGCTTTTTGTGATTGGTGTAAATCGAGGTAAGATCTTCAGTGCAATGTCTCTGAAGACAATAGATAATACACTTTTAGAGGCATTCTCAGTCAATAGAAATATGTTGTTTTGCTACTGGAATCAGGGATGAGAAAATGATTGTTTGATGGACATGCTGTATACCATTACACAAATACAATTAATTGTTTAACACATTCTTTCTGAGAAATATTTTTGCTCAATTGAAGAAGTGGCAAAAAATATTCTCATTCTACCAAATATCCACAGGAAATCGCCATTCTACCAGCTTCTCAATTTTGACCATATATATATAGGTCCATTAGTAAGGCATTCATTGTATCAGTATTCTGGGACTGACTTCATCAGTCGGTGACAACTGAAAATCTCTAGTGACAAGTTGTATTGTCCCCAAGGCTAGATATTTTGCATGAACCCCTTGACAAAAATGAGCTGCAGACTATGTGGTTATTACCAAAGGTGCTTAGCCTCAATTTCAATAATGTCAATTTTTAATTATTTATTTGGATTTCATTTATCGGCGGTATTAGAAAAAGGAATTTGAAAAAAAGTTGAATTTTAGGCAAGAGATATGTTTTTTTTTTAACGTCTTAAGTTGCATTCATATGCATGTGCTTTTTAGGCTAGAGATACGAGTGTAAGTGTTGACCATGAATGTTCAAGGTAATATTTTGTTAATTGCAGTACACAGGGCTGTGTCTGAAGTCCCAGACACAGCTGTGTTTGTCAGAAGGGAGGAAGAACGATGTGAGCGCATTCTGGATGAGGCTGCCTGTATTCTAGCTAAAGGTGACAATGCATGTTGTTTCTTGTCATAACATTTGTATGTTGTTGTTTTTAAGCTCTGCACAGCAACCCGTGAAGGTCCGGGTTAGAATGAGCCTTGCTTGTCGTAAGAGGCGACTAACGGGATCGGGGTGGTCAGGCTCGCTGGCTTGGTTGACACATGTCATCGGTTCCCAATTGCACAGATCGATGCTCATGTTGTTGATCACTGGATTGTCTGGTCCAGACTTGATTATTTAGAGACCGCAGCAATATACAGAGATGCCAACCCATACGATTTTATCGTATTCTTTACGAAAAAAACAACACAAAATACCCGACTACGATATCAGTAAAAATATACGATGTTTTAAAAAAACACGTTAAATTAAATTACCAAATTGCATACGTACCATACGCAATAAATTTCAACCATATTTTATGCAGTATCAAGCTATATGTAGATACTTACTACTGATTTAGGTGAGTACAATGTTAATAACAAGTTCTCAGAATAGCTATATATTCTTTGGAAAAGTTAATACTAATTTTGGCCAAAAAATACTAATTTTTACAGCAGTTTTTGGCCAAAATACTAATTAGGCTAAATTAGGGTTGGCATCTCTGCATCATAGCTGGAATATTGCTGAGTGCAGCATAAAACTAAACTCACTCACTCACTCATTCTGCACAACAGCCAGTTCTGTGCAAGGTTACAATGACCAAAACATGGAGGGATGACTGAAATGTTCTGAGCTTTACTGTATGACGAATGTATATTACACACAACAGTTTGCATTTGTTAAAGGTCACATGCAACGTAAAACACAACTTTGCAGATTCTGATACCTTTTGGTATGGACTTACCGAAACAAATCGTCAAAAATGCAAATTCAACTTATAAAGTTGAAAAATAACGCGATGAAAAAAAACGCGCGAAATCGGAGTTCAAACGTTTCACTAATTTTCCCCCGACTTTTCTGGGGAAAACGGGTTTCAACAGCTGGGCTGCGCTTATAGCACGTGCGCAGTGCAGTAGGTTCGCGCAGCTTGGAAGCGGTTGTCCGGTGAATACTCGGTGAAGGCTTTGGTGTGAGCTATTTTTCTAATGTTTTGTTGATATCTCACAGGCGCGAGCTTTTTATATGTTATGACAGTAAATTAACTGTTTATATAATTTCATTTGTCTATTTCACCACACGTTCTTCTTACCGAGTCACTTTCTCAGTTCGATACTTAAAAGCAATGCCATTATTTAGCGTTGGCAGAATTTCCAACTGTGATATAGATATGTCGTTGTCACAGACTAAACTCAGTGTCTTGTTTTATTGACACCTGTGTTTCTGCCTGCCTGTCTGCTAATGACAATATTCAATACACAGCTGCTATCACTGACCACATGCAATTTGAACTTAACACCAATCAGGCTATACACCATTAACAAAATGCATTGATTTATGGCCCGAGTTCGGTCTCTGTCACATTATGTAATTACACAGACAGGTAGGTGTGATACTTGAACACATGACATGTTATGATGTCTGTTGATTGCAAAATGTTATACACAAAAAATGAGCATGTATTTACAAAACCCAAAATCTCTATATATACACACACAATGACCCGTGAGGGCATCGGCAAATGAACCAGCCGTTACACTTGAGTGCACACCCACCCGCTCTGACTGGGTTGGGTATCCCGGCTGCTTCGTTCTTGGGAAGTAAACCGAAGTACACAATATTGCACTTTTGATTTGCGATTGTACGCTTATAATTTTGTTTATATGTTTTTTCATAACCAGCAATGTATATTATATGTCATGAATAAGTGATAATTGTGTTTTAATTATGTTTGATTTTTTGGTTGCATGTGACCTTTAACTTTCCATGCTTAAAGACTGCACTGGGATTAAATAACAAATTAATGACCACCAAAGTGACCAGGTATTTTCTGTTTATGGAAATGGATAGTAATGAGCCTTCATCAAGTGTCAGATCTACTTTCATAATCTGTGCACTTCAACTACATGTACTTTCATAGACCTTGCTTATTCTCTGAATATATATAATTTTTATTTGAATGTACAAATAAACCCATTTAAATTGAAAAGTAGCCCCAGGGACTGACCAGATGTTGAACCTGGGGGAAATCTAGACTTATTTCATTTAGGGCTTTTACATTGCAGGGAGGGCTAGGCTGTAGGGAAAATAATATGGTTCAGGGACTGTGAGACAGACTACTACTTTCACTGTGCTTACCCTCATATACGTACACTACAATATTGGATATAGATCAAACCAAACTGAAATCTGGTGCTGTGTATACTGGGCTAGTAATGTAAAGTAAGCAATGCCATAAGTAATGTATTGATGAATGCAACTGATCTAAAACTACGTAGTTATAAGAGGTTTGTGAAAGAACTGTCAACTCTTGAGTGGAGTCCCAAAGTTGTTTGAGTAGCAACAACAGACAACTGATGAAAATAACGATCCTTTCTACAATATCATGGCAAGGGTCATGAAAAAACAGGCTTCACATATAGTGCCCATGTGGGGATTCGATCCTGAGTCTTCTGCTTTGACCACTGGGTTACTCCACTCAACAAGGATTATGTTGAATAATAATCAGCAACCCTCTCCTTCAACACAGTCCTTCATTATTTGGCTCAGGACTTTTCAGCCACCCCTCAGCCTGGTATATATTTGTATTTATTTTTGAGGGGTGTTATATTTGCATTGAGTAGTAAATTAAACTTGCTGCAAAGTCACTCAACTTGGCAGTTTCTGCATGTCTTGTTATTCATGTAAATTTCAGGATCAATATTCACTCAGAAACGTTTGAGGTATGTTGACACATCAATCTATGATACTGTATACCGGATAACAATAAATTGATCTCAAACATCAATTTGGTATTCTTTGCAGCTACTGATTCTGATGGCTTTGCCTTATATCTCCCCAAGCATAATGAAACGGTAAGTTATTTACTCAACTAAAACAACCTGCACCAGCAATAATGTCAGGATAATCACACCTGACAGTCACACCTGATATCATCATCATCATCATCCCAATAATGCTTCTAAATTAACATTTTGGGGATTCTTCAATTGGAATAGCTTAGGTCCTTATGCTTGTAGTAGGACATTGTATAAACTGGATGGTCAGCCTCAGCAACTTGGTTTATTGTATGTTATCTAACCACACTGGTATAGATCAATGCTCTTAATATCAGTCAGTGGTTTGTCTAGGGCTGGTTAAAAACACAAGGCCATCATATGCATGGTTCATACCAGTGATTGAATCCTAGAAAGGACTGGGAAGTTTAGTTTGACTTTCCCTGACCTGGAAAAGTTTGGAATGTAGAAAACAGGTACATAGCATGAACATTTAAATTGAAAGATAGAAATCTTCACTGAATATTGGTCTCTGACCAACTCCAGATAAATCTCAGATAAATGTGTTTCATGATAACTAACAACTAGTTATATATCTGTTTTACAGGAGCTTGAACACTACTGTAATGGCACAAAGTAAGTATCATGATGATTACCTCATGGTTGATATGCTGAAGGAATCAATATACTGTTTACATTCTGATTTCATAGAAGTTTTAATTTCACATAATACATGGATCAAAAACAACATTGTCCACATCTTGTGGTTTGTTGATGCAAGAATATTGTGTGATTTGTTTGTTCATAAATGACTGTGATTCTGGTCGATGATTGTTAAAGAGCATGGGTTGCAATTAATTCATTGGGTACAGCAGGGGTGGAAATAACTTTAAAATTGATAATGTACTCCGGTACAGTGGCACATGTAAAATCACTTGCCCTGATAATTTTTCCACTATACTAGCCGATTTCCTTGTTGATTTTTTAAATAAACAACATAATTAACATTGGAAAGTCAACTGGACACCGGTACAGCATGACATACATGACATTTGCTAGCCCGACAGAAAAAAACACTGGACTGGGACGTCGGGCAATGGGTTATTTCCATCCCCTGTACAGATTTCATTATTTACAGGCCACTATAACACTAGTATACCATAAATAATGTTTGATCGGCATTCTAGAATTTGGGGAGTCAGTAGTGCGCATACAACTTTATGGATAACAGTTTGGTTGTAGTCACCCTTTAACATAATAACAGTGTAAGAATCTACTACGAGACATGGATGTATGTAATGAACAAGAAGTTGTTTTCCATAAAGTTGCATGCTTTATTGGTCACAATAATATAGATGTAATTCCCCGTTATTGTTGACTGTACATTAAACAGCCTTCACTCACTGACTAATCATATTGAATGTATGACATTTACAGGAAGCCGTATGGACCAATAGGCAAAGGCATGACTGTTGCAGCTTTTGCAGCAATGGAGAAGACTACCCAGCTGGTTGAAAACCTACCTCAGGTGGGATGTCATTGATATTGTCATAGTTTTGTCTAGGGTATCCAGGAAAACTCGGAAATTAAATTATATTTTTGTCCACTATTTGTGTTTTTCTTTAATCCTTTTGCCTGAAACTCAGTGTGTTTTATCGCTGCAGTCAATGTAATGATGTAAAACTCAACATTAAACCATATGTTATTAACAGTTCTGTTTTCAGAGAAAATATATGTAATGTCTCCAAAGAGATAACGTTGGTTGAACATTAAGGATATTAACAGTTGGTATATTTATTTTTGTTTAGATTCAGGATATTAGTTGCAGATTTGGGGTTGAATATAGGCATTTGTAGATAAATCATGGGAGTTCATACATTTCAATGAGGATTTATTGGTAGTAAAGTTTCTGTGATTCATGGGTAATAAAGTTGGAAATATTACTATCCATGAATCCTACAGCCTGTACTCACAACAAATCATAGAACCTTTAATATAAATCCCTGCAGTAAACACAGCATTTGAGTGAGTAAGTGCGTTAGTTTGGTTTTATGCCGCTATTAGCAGTATTCCAGCAACATCACAGTTGGGGACACCAGAAATGGGCATCACACATTGTACCCATGTGGGGATTCGAACCCAGGCCTTCAGCGTGACAAATGAACACTTTAACCACGAGGCTACCCCACCACCCCGAGAACTGACTGATAGTTGGTGATATATGCTATGGCCAAGATTCATATGAGAGATATGTTATATGACTGATAGATAAAATAGTTTCAGTGTACCTTGTGATTGTTCCTTGTAAACTGAACTTTGGCTGGGGGACTGTGTTATTCTGTGGCTAGAATATTGAATAAATAGGGACCTGTGAACAACGTATTTATCTTACGGAACACCTCAGTGTTAATTTTGACCTCTTTGAAGCACAGGTATTGGATCATAATCAGGAGTACCGGAGTTAGGCAACAGCCCAAACACTACTAACATGAAGTACCAAACGAATTCCCACAGTTCGGCATTTCCAGCGGGTAACATGGAAAATTTACTCGCTTGTAAGTGGCAGTTAGAAAATGACATTAATGTGTGAGGTAAGATAAACTGTGTTATCCTATGACTAGAATATTGCATACACATAGTATACACATAAGAATATAGACAGATATACTGGTTAGTCTAGCATGTCGGAGGTACATATAGGGATACTAACTCTCATACCCACTGGTTTTAAGTGTATCTGATGAATGCTGCCATATTTGCATGGTTTGTATTGCAGGACACAAGGTTCCCTAAAGGTGTTGGTCGTGGAGCGACAAGTGTACACAGTGTACTGAGTGTGCCCCTAGTCATGCCTACAAATGATCTCTTAGGTAAGATGTGCTGTTTTTTTCTACTTGTGTACATGGCAAGAAGTATGATTTTATGCAGTTTGTGACAAAAAAAATTGATCATGCATGTTAGAAATCAGGATATAAAATGAAGCAGACAGGCTTTATATTTAGCTGAGGCTATTCCCATTTCTCTTTCGTTAATTGGTCCACAGAGTTTGAAGAAGACTAGCGTGGATTTCAAATGATGTGTGCAGTTATTTTCAAAAGCATTGATTGATATTGAGACAGGTACACTGAAAACTAATAAGATGAATGCATTAAGGGATTTTAGGCAGTAACCAAAGTGTGATATTTTAGGGCAAAATGGGGTTTATTTGATGGTGTGACAATTTTTCAGTGTGTTATCAATCCTGATCCAGGACATTGCTGATACTGTCTACTTCTGGTTTCACTCACCCAGATGCGAATATTGTCAGGTGATGGTGATTAATTGATAGCACATGGTGCCCTAATGCCCTTTCGGGAACAACAAGTTATCACTTTCAGTTGGCACCTGCCTTCCATTGTTGTAGGAGGTTGTGGCTTAAAAGAACATTCACCCACTCAGTTCAGTTTAGTTTGTTTTCTGTGCAGGTGTGGTTGAGCTGACCAAAGAGGGTATGAAGGATTCATTTACTGATGAAGATTTTCAGGTTGGTGGATGGTGTTTTGTTGTGTATAGAAGCATAAGCAGTCCTTGCAGGATTTGTCTTCTCACTGTTTTGACCCATTAAGATCTGGGTTAGAATTGATCTTCAGTAACCCATGATTGTCGTAAGAGGCGACTAATGGGATCGGGTGGTCAGGCTCGCTGACTTGGTTGACACAGGTCACTGTATCCCAATTGCGTAGATTGATGCTCATTCTGTTGATCACTGGATTGTCTGGTCCAGACTTGATTATTTACAGGCCATTGCCACATAGCCGGAATATTGCTGAGTGCAGCATAAAACTAAACTCACTCACTAACTTCTCACTGATTCACTGAACATGGATTATTTTATAAAGTTTGTCTTGAAGATGTTAGTTAATGTTGAGTCTTAAATGAATTTTATCATGGATTAATTTTCTCAGAGATGCAGGAAAGTATTAAATGGGGTTAGTCGTTTCATTCTGTACCATTTCTAAGGAGATACGAGGGGTTGTTCTGTCATCTGTCATGTAGTGATTCTGTGTGTTGCAGCTGGCTAATGCCATGTTAAGCTGGTTGGTGTCGTCTCTACACCAGTGTAAGGTAAGTGTACTGCATGGTTCCCCATGTATAGCCTGGATCGGAAATATCAGAAACAATCACTCACAAATGGTGAATATATAGGCACAGCTGCCTACATTGCCTGCATGAAATATGTTCAAAAGGCTTCAGTGGTCTAGACAATGATTGCAAGGATTTTTATTGCATTATGAAAAATGCAACATTCTTATCAAAACTAACAATATAGTCCGTTTGGCTCAAAAGCGGACCGATGAATTGCAATCTAACTCGAAAACTAATAAACATAAAATACTCAATGAAACACTGATCATAATCAAAACCTCAGACCAACTCTGTGAGGTTTTTGCAGAATTTATGTCCTAAATATAAAAAAAGTTGTTTAACAAACTATCATTAAAATATCGACACAATTCACTATATGTCACGAGGGACAAGTGCAGAGAAAGGGACAGCCAGGTGTGCGAGAAAGGATGGAGACGGCACAGTACAAGTGAATGAATCAATAAAGTTGTCGGCACTTGTGCACATGCTTCTCTAGTCTGTCTCACAGTCCCTGAACCACATTATTTTCCCTACTGCCAAGCCCTCTCTGCAGTGCTAAAGCCCTAAATAAAGCAAGTCTAGATTTCCTCAGGTTCTGAATCTCTGGTCTCCCTAGGGCTCCTTTTCAATATAAATGGGCTTGTTTGTTACTATCAAAATTATATATATTCAGAGACTAAGCCTTAGTCTAATGCTTCTCTAACACCTGGCTGTCCCTTTCTCTGCACTCCTCCCTCGTAACAAATGGTGAACTCTGTCAAAATTTTAATGATAGTTTGTTAAACAACTTTTTTTAATTTCAGAACATAAATTCTGCAAACAAATCACAGAGTTGGTCTGATGTTTTGATTATGATCAGCGTTTCATTGAGTATTATATGTTTATTAGTTTTCGAGTTAGATTGCAATTCATCGGTCCGCTTATGAGCCAAACGGACTATAGATAGAATTATA